AATGAAGAATTAAACAAACACAAGTTGCATTAAGTGCTCCAAAAGAGAGAAACGAGGGGCAGAGACAGCAGAGGACCAGTGGTATATTTTCCTGTGTGCATGAGGGACTTTTAGATGGGATGGCCTAGCAGGCCCCTTAGAGGAAACCGTGCCGGAAACTGGACTCTTGTGGGTGGGAGCTGAGCATGTGCTAGGTAGGAAGGAGAGTCCTGGGCGCTGGGGACTGCATCAGAATGGCCCTGGGCTGGGAAAGCAGATCCGCGTGGTAGAAAGAGAGTCAGGGATGGAAGACTGGTTATGAACAGGTTGAGAGAGATAGGTGAGAGACATTGTTCAAGGCCTTTGCGATGGGTTGGTTCATTATTCCCATTTCACAGATGAAAACAGCGAGATGCAGAGAAACAGAACAGCTTGTAGAAGGTCACACAGTGGTAGGCAGTGTGTCTGGACTTCTAACCCAGCTCTCTCTGACTCCAGAGTCCAGGCTGTAAGGCAGAGGCTAGCAAACTGTGTCCTGCAGGCCACGTCCAGCATCCTACCTGTTGTCTGTAATTAAAGGTTCACTGGAACGCAGCCGCAGTCATTCATTTATGCATTGTCAATGGCCACTTTCTCACCACACCAGCATAACTGAGTGGTTGGGGTGGACACTGTATGGCCTTGCAGAGATGGCAATATTCACTACCTAATTCTTTAGAGAGAAATTTCACTGAACCTGTAACTCTGGGGTGGGGAGAGGGCTCATGTCTACTTCTTTCCTGGTGTTTCCCCAAAGTGACCCAGTGACTGGCATTAGCTAGGATCCAATAAACATCTGTTGAATGAATGAAGAATGGGAGAGGAGGTGCATGGAGCCAAAAAAATCAAAGGGTTGGAGATTGGATGAACTGGGTTAGCATGAGACAAGGAACTGGCCGGTGAGCACAGGCTCTGTTTGGTTGCAGCAGGTGGACTCGCTTGGCCAAAGGGAGGAGCAGGATGTTGTAGACATCAGGTTGGAGACAGTCCCTGGGGGTCAATTGAGAAGAGCCCTGAATGCCACCATCATTAAGCTCTGAGACCTTTAAGTGGCTGACTTAGCAGTCACAGAGGCTCTGGAAGAGACCTACTTTGCCAAGATGGAGATTGTAATTGGTTATTGATGTCCTATTTGTATGCTAATGTTGCTCGATAAAGTAGCTAAACCATAATTAACGCTCCAGCTTCCTCTAAAAAAAAGCCCACTGAAAGGTCAATGGATTCCATACAATAAATTATTAAATAATGGGAAACACAGGAGGTTAAGTTTCTGAGCTATAATCTTTTCAGGTTTTATGAACTATCATTTATTAAAAGCACTGACAATGTTTACATTTTGTTTTGCCATTTTCCTGCCAGCTTCAGAAATTTTTGGAGTTGGCGTCAGTGTTGAGTGGAAAAATATATTGTTTGCCAGGCTTCATCTGTCTGGAAATCAAGACAGAGTTACCTCTGTGATCTGACTTCTCATCTCTCCATGTCAATGTTAAGTCAAATAGTATGGCAGCACGTTGGCAGATTTCATGTTGTATGGAAACCAGGATGAAATATACTGTAATGCCAGTTAGATTTATCTGGTCATCACAGAAACATACGAGGATCTTTTGTGGATAAAATTCTTACTCTTGTCCTGAAAATTCTACAAGAGGGAAGATCTTGGTGTGGTTATCCAGTCGCTAAATAGAGTTCGGCATTTTAAGACCTCCTGGACCATAGCAAGCTAGGCTCCTCTGTCCTTCACTATCACCCAGGGTTTGCTCAAATTCACATCCATTGAGTCAGTGATGCTATCTAACCATCCAATATTCTGCTGCCCCCTTCTCCTTGTGCCTTTAATCTTTTCTAGCATCAGGGTGTTTCCCAAGATCTTACTTGTAAGGAACAGGTATGACTAAAGGGATGTCTATGAACTTGGACTCTGGGGTCTGTGTTTGAACTGCTTTTTTACACCTTAGCTCCTGTGAACTTTGGACTTAGCTCTTTGGTGCCTCATTTTACTCAACTAGGAAATAGAGGCATGAGTGATACTTACTGCATGGAACTGTGATGATTAAGAAATTGTACATAAAATGCCCCAGACAGTCTGGAGCAGAGTAGTGTGAAGCATTGTTATAACTCTGTAGGGTTTAAAATGTTCAAGGGCAGCGATTTACAATGAGGCCAAATGAATTGGTAAGTTGGTCAGCTTTAAAAGTTGTCTTCAAACACCAATCAATTCATTGACAGTTTACTTGGCTTGTATTGTGTGTTTGGGAAGATGCTAAAAAATATAAGGTGAGATCATTCCAGATGTCAAAGAATTGACAGTTCTTGGTGAGGAATCGACTCAAAGACAAGACAGGGTATTACTGGATAGAAATCATTTGTTCATTTAACTGGGCAACTGTTACATATCAGGGACCAAGTAAAGAACTGGTGACATAGAAATGAATCAGAAGAACATGACTAACAATCTAGTGGGGTCTGTAGACAAGAGTTTCAACGAGGACTGGTACAGTCTGTGTTAAAAATGTTTTCCCAAGAAAAGAATTAAGAACTGAACTTTACATTTTAGTACTGGTTCTACAAACAATAGGACTTCAAGAAACTTCTGGCTTAATTTCCTCATTGTATATTTGAGCCTGAAACGTAGAAGATGTTTGCCATACAGAAGATTTAATTCTTAAGAATGCATAATGCCTATATAGAATCATTGCTTAATAATCAAATGATTGATGATCAACTTCCCCCCAAATACACTGAAACAGCCCAAGTTATATGAATATGAAAGTGAATCGCTCAGTTGTGTCCAGCTCTTTGTGACCCCATGGACTATACAGTCCATGGAATTCTCCAGGCCAGAAAACTGGAGTGGGTAGCCTTTTCCCTTTTCCAGGGGATCTTCCCAACCCAGGGATGAAACCCAGGTCTCGACATGCTGTCATCACACACAGCCCAGCATCTTGACATCACAATTCTCATTTTGAATTTTTCTTCCTGTCTTCTTTTTTCCCCCTGTTACATTTTCAAGTGCAGTTTTAACTGTAATTGCCATTAAATTGCACACATAATGATTTTTTTAGGACCACAGGTGTCCTGAATAAGATATTAATTGTAACACTCAATTCAGAACACTCTCATCATTTTTTCATGCCCATAAGATTTTCTGTCCTTGTGTTTCCCTTTATGAATTCAGTACTATGTAAGCAGTTTGATGTCGCTGCTTAGTCTTACTAGGTAATATTAGTATCATCGATTAGATGTTGTTAAATATCTGAGTTGTCTGGCTTTGCGTCTTTCAAATGCTTTGCACTGTGACTTATTCCCAACTGTGTACATTTTCCCCAGAGTTCAAGGAACTGGAGGAGCTAGCAGAATCCAAGGAGGTAAAATCTCAGGTGTCATTGAGGGCTTCTGTTGGCCTTGGCCGTGAAAAGAATGTGTCAGAAAAGCAGTGCTCTGACAGTCACACTGGTTGACTCCATCATTCTCTTAGCTACTTGATGCCGCCTCTGTGTATTTGGTTGCAGAGTTGATATCACAGTCATGGTAGAATCATCATTTAAAAAAAATTACTAGACCATTTTCAATACATTTTTAGGTCCATGAAACTGAAAAGAAAGTATAGAGTTCCTTATTGCTCCCCACTCCCACTCACAGTGTATTATTAACTTCTTACTTTAAATATGGTATATTTGTTACAGTTGATGAACTGATATTGGTATATTATTATGAACTGAAGTTCACAGTCTGCATTAGCGTTCACTCTTTGTGTTGTACATTCTAGGTTTTGACAAACAGATGACATGTACCCACTGATACAGTATTAAACAGGATAATTTCAGTGCCTGAAAAATCCTGTGTGGTCCTGTGATCATCCCTCCCTCCCTCCCTTTGAGTCCCTGGCCACACACTGATTTTTCACTTCTCCACAGTTTTGCCCTTTCCAGTATGACATATAGTTGGAATAATACGATATATAGCCTTTTCAGATTGGCTTCTTTCACTTAGCAATATATATTTAAGGTTCATCTATGTCTTTTCATAGGTAGGTAGCTCAGTTACTTTTATCACTGAATACTGTTCCACTGTCTGAATGTATCACAGTGTATTTATCCACTCATCTATTGAAGGACATCTTGTTTGCTTTCATGCTTTGATAATTAGGAATAAAGCTTACAAATATTTGCAAGCAGGCTTTTGTGAGCATTAAGTTTTCAACTAACTTGGGTAGATAACAAGGAACACAACTGTTAGATTGTGTGTAAGTTTTTGCTTTTATATTTGTTAACTTAAGTCGAGATACACGTTATTTGTAAGAGTTCTCTACAAACTTATATAAGGACAATAGCACCTGAAACATTTCAATGGGGGCAGAATGGGAGGTGCCTGGAGGTGAAGATATGAATTCCTACTTCCTTGAAACAGTAAATAAAGTGAACATCTTGGCACGTACACTCCATAGCACTCTCCACATCTAAATGGATCAGTACAGACTGTTTTGAACTATATTACATTAGTGAACTTTGCCCATTCTGCCCTGCTACAAGTTGTAAAACTTTCTCTGTAGATAAACAACACCACTTATTATTGTATACAAAAAATGAACCAAAATTCATTTAAAAATAGATATTCAAATAGTTTTCATAGAAGTTAAATGAATATGATGCTTATCTCATTTGTATCCTGATTATATTTAGAGAGAAGGGAGTAGGATAAGCACTAAGATTTTCATCACATGGCTTTAACAATTACTGATGTGCCAGTATTGTTTTATCCATCCTTCTACTTTTTGCTATATTATTTTAAAGCAAATTCTAAACATTGTATTTACATTATTTGCAATGACTGCTTAACATTGTGCATTACATGGAGTGGATCATGCTCCTACTATTTTTCCATTGTTGATTAATAAACAACTCCACAGTAGATGTCTCTGAGTTTAATGCTTGTTGGTGTTTGATGAAGACTAATATATGAAATGTCTCTCTTCCTTTCATAAGATTCAACACAAGGAGAGAGAGATGTTAGAGTTGGATGAAAAGAGAAGAAGAAACATTAGCCATGTGGATTTCCTAAGACATTTTCCCCTGAGTTGAACTTCACATCTCTTCTTGCTCAGCATAGAATGAATCAAAGCTCCTGAAAGGCAGCCTGGAGAAAGGGAGTGTGACATGTGAGAAGGGTCTTGTTGGACCCGCTCTCCCAAAAGCACCCATCAGCTGCATCTTCTTCCATGAAGAAGAGGACGAGAAAGGAGAGGCTGCTGATTCTTCTAGGGTAAGAATTTCTTTCCATAAAAAGAACCCAGAGGACTGGGAGGTAAGTGGACCCCGTTAGAAATAGTTTGATTTAATCCCATGAGGGATTCCTGAGTCAAAGGGCGAATGTAATTTTATGGCATGGTGACCAAATTTCTTTCCAAGAGGCCTGTACATCTGTATACTCCTACCAACCATGGATGAAAACTGCCCAAATTTTAGACTAGCCAAATTGCATAAATACCTGGACAGGTGTACTTAACATAATTGTATTTCAATAACAAGACCACTGAGCAGAAACTGTTGACCATTCCCTGGAGAGCTTGCCAGAACCCAAACGATCAAATTGGGTGTTAGCATCATTATACAGAGCATTGGGGGCTGCCTGAACTGAATCAGGTACCAGTTGGAAAGCATGAAATTACTGACTCTGTTTAAATCTAACTGCAATTTATCTGTAAGAATAGTACTGAAAGGTGACATTTGTCTTAGTGAGCTTCCCATTCATTTCCGGAGCTGGAGTTCATCAGTCATGCAGCTCAAGTGCACGATACATGCAGATGAATATTTATTATAGATGATGGAGTATCCTTCTGGCAACATAATACACTTCATTCACTTGGAAAGGGAATTCAAACAGATCCATGATAGACTGCTGGAACTGGAGGGGGCTTTCACCTCCCTTCAGGAGAAATTGGTGGAGAATCTGCTATTTTGGTGAAGAGAGAGTCCACATGGTTAGTGTTCACATGTGAACTGGTTTTAAAGTATTCTGACTGGTTAGATTTAGTTAGATATATCCTATTGAAAGATAGTTACTATCTCAAAAATAATTCATCGAGTGGATGGAAAATCCAGCTATATGCCTGAATTCAGCCAATAGATTGAAGCGTATTGGTTGTTTGAATGCCACCCACTGTTTGAATTTGTTTAAGCTCATAGGTGAAGATACAGATTTGGCCTAATTCACAGAGTCTCTAGGCACTAGAAGAGAATCTTAAAGTAAAGCATGGATTTCCGACATTGATCTGACACTTGAGGTTAAGTGCTTCTTTCTTAGGAAATGCAAGATCAAAGACAATGAAATGACAGAAAAAATATACTCAGAGCATCATTCTTTTTTTCTTTTTAATTTAGAAGCCACTCCTCATCCCAGGAGAGCTGAGAAGCAAAATTAAGAGAAAAATAGCTTCCTTGTGCCCATTAAGCTGTCTTTTGTTTTCTTTTGATGACCAATGAGAATCTTGTTCATTAAAATTGTATGGATGCCTCTCCTTTCCTCCGACTATTTACACATAAAAAATAGATGATTCCAAAGAGAGATTCCAACATCACGCTTGTTAAGGCTGCTGAAAACGTCCATGCAAACAGCCATCTCCTTTTGCAGAACCATGAGGAGTTTCCTAAAATATACAGTGGTAGATTCAAGTGGGTATATCTATGGAGGTGTGGACAAGGCTGGGTATCTGAGGAAAACCAGTGTTACAAACAAACCTTCCTTGTCTTTTTTTTTTTTTTTTAAAGAATCACCCTACCTTCCCAGACTCTGGACACATGCCTTTCCCATTATGTGTTGAAATGGAAGTAACAGGAGGTTCTGTGACTATGGGGAGACGGAAACCGAAAGTACGGCCACTGAGGAAGATTAAACTCAACTTGACCTCCAAGGCTGATGGATAAATGATGATTAGAAAGAGGATATGCATATCTAAATTGCATTCTATCTCTACTGCAGTCTAACGACATTACTAAAATTGCCGTTTGATAATCCATCAAAGTGAAAATGTGTCCACTTATCTCCGGCTATAAAAACAATCATTGATTCAGTCTCTCAACATGGGTACTGCCAGATTGTCATGGGCAGATGGTCAGACTATTGCACTGGAGTTGGATCCAAATCACCCCTGTGTTTCCTCTTTCTGTTGATTTTTCCTCTTCTCTTCCTTATCTCCCCAGTAAGTATTTATTATGCTCCTGCTGTGTGTTTAACAAGATCTGGTTTTCAGCTGTTCACCTTGCTGACTGGTGATCTTGGCCGAGTCACTTGACATCTTGGAGGCTTGATTTCTCCTCTGAAAAAGCGGAATACAACCTGCCTTGCTTGACTTGCAGAGTTATTGAGAAGCACAAAGGTGCATTTTGCATCAGGAAAGTGCTGTAGAAACATGGAGTTCCAGGCCTCCGTTGAACAATTGTATTCATTTGTGTCGTTACAGAGCACTCACTAGGTACTACAATGGTTTGGGTTCAAGGCACCTGAAGATGAATAAAACATACTCCCTGTAATACACACTTTTTCAGTCCAATGGGGGAGATGGAGGTATGGTGTAAGAAAGGGGAGGTGAAAAGAACATCTCATACAGATGAAAGTTCACGTGTTAAGTGCAGAGATTGGGATGAAGGCAACTAGAGGGTTATCTTTTGTCTTGTAAGCATCTCTGTGTTTGTTTGTCTAGATTTCACCCCTCCTGCCCCTTCTAGAACCTGAGACTCTGTATTTCTTATGATCTGGGTCAGTCCTGGTGGGGCCTGCCCAAGTGATCTTGAAGGATGCTGTTGCGACTATGGTATCAACTGTAGCTGCTGGCGAGGGACAGAAAGGGACTGCAGAAGACGACAATAGAGCAGGGACGAGGATGACTTGGGAGGATGCTGCTTCTCGTCCATCTGTCCCTCTTGCTGGTGATTTGGGTCTCCATGTGAACCACGTGATCTGACGGGCTACATTCAGATCGTGGAATTATGTGGTCCCTGGGAAAGAGAAGAATTTCCTAGTTTCTCAGGTTTCACAGCTGGTGCTCTCCTTGGCTCCACAACACAAGTCCTTATAGTGCAACAAGTATGTGTGTTAGTTGCTCAGTCGTGTCTGACTCTTTGCGACCCCAGGGACTGTAGCCCGCCAGGCTCCTCTGTTCATGGGATTCTCCAGGCAAGAATACTGGAGTGGGTTGCATTTCCTTCTCCAGGGGACCTTCCCGACCCAGGGATTGAACCCGGGTCTCCCACACTGCAGGCAGATCCTTTACACTCTGAGTCACCAAGAAAGAGTCAAATGGGCTGGCTTTGAATCATAGCCTTGATACTCACTACCCATACATTCTAGAGCAAGTTATTTCAACTCTTGAAACCTCGGTTCCTTATTTGGAAAATGGGAGCAATAGCAGCAGCCATCTCACGGGGTTGCAGGCAGACAGGAGACTTGATGGATTCAGCCCAGGGCTCTGCACACAGTAAGCATTTAGGCAATGCCTCTGTTGCAGAGATTGCTTGTCTTCTGGATTTGGACGGAATTAGAAGCAGGATAGGGGACTTCCCTGATGGCCCAGTGACTAAAGGATCCACCTGCAACATAGGAGACACGGAAGGCAAGGATTCAGTTCCTGGGTTGGGAGGATCCCCTGAAGAAGGGAATGGCTACCCACTTCAGCATTCTTGCCTGAAAAATACCCTAGACAGAAGAGCCTGGTGGGCTACAGTCTGCGGGGTCTCAAAGAGTCAGCCACGACTGAGCACACACATAGCAGCAGGGCAGAGGAAGAAAAATGGCTCTGCAGAGGCGTCAGGGTGAGGCTCCTGACACTCAGAACCTCATGCAGACACTCTCAAGAGAAGCAGAGCAGCTTCTCGGAACCTCCTGCTCTCTCTCTGAGAGAACAGGAGTCCCAGGGCTCCCTGAGATGCTTCTTACATTATTTCTTACCCCAAAGATTCAGTGGGTCATCATGGTGACATGCTAATGACCTTGATGTGGTTTGCGAGTGCATGACTTCATGTTGCTGAAACCAGCCCCCCTCATCAAAGAGGAAGGAGGCGCACCCAGCCGGGGCCCCTAACAATTAGAACTTGTGAGAACAAGGCTGCTTTGCCTCCTTGAGTAGATACAGTGAGAATGGCCTGTCCTCCCCATAACCTAGGCTGGTAGCAGAGAATATGGAGGCTTCCATACTAACCCTCCCCTTGCAAGCCTTCACTTCCTCATTTTGTTTTTGAATCCTGAAAGAATTTTCTTCTCCTTCCAAAGCCAGATTTGGATACCAGGAGACCAAGGTATATTTACTTGTCCTGGGCATGTCATTTGCATATGTCGCTAGGGTTGACCTGTCTATGATTAAGCAGCTCCCAAAGAAACAGCTTGTCACACCTGTCACTTGCTATCTTTTCCTTTGTTTTTCTTCTTTCACTTCGCCGAGGACCCAGTGGCCTCTTTTAGGCCAGGAGATGCAGACTTGCCAAAGAAGGTCAGGATGGTGTGAGGAGGGGTAGGAATCATAAGCGCTCATGAGATTTAGTTTGCAAAGTAAACTCTGGTGTGACTATATGTGCCATTCACTGTGGATTTGACTATATCAGGTATTATCCTAAGAATCTAAGAGTTATCTTGTTAAATCTTTGCCAGAACCTGATGAGGTAGACACCATTATTCCCATTTTACAGATGAAAAGAGGAGGATGAGGATTAGAGTTTATCTAATGCCCCCAAGATTACCCTGCGATTAACTGGCAGAGCTGAACTCAAATTCAGGTTGATCTGGGCTTCCGAGCCCGTTCTTGTAACCCTACACACTGCTGTTCTTCTCTTTTCCAAGTCACTGTGTTGTCATCCACAATTACTCCCTGCCCCTTACCTACACAAGGATTGCACACGCCCCTCCTCCTCGATGCCATGTGAGCATGAGCGACTCCAACAGGAGGAAAGAGGACACCTCCCTGCCTTCCTGACTGACTTTAGGTTTGACCAGTAGATTGACAGTAGATGTGACGGGTGCCATGTCTGAGCAGAAGACTTTATGAAGCACTACAAGCCTCTGTGAGCTGTCTTGTCTTTTCCCTCTGCCACAAGAGTGGCACACTCCACACAAGGCTAGTCTGTACAAGGGGGACGTCTTCCCTGCCTGTCTCATGCATGCTCAGTTGCCAAATCATTGCCGACTCTTTGGGACCCCATGGACCCCACCAGGCTCCTTGTTCATGGGGTTTCTCAGGCAAGAATACTGGAGTGGGTTACCATTTCCTTCTCCACTGCCTATCTCATATTTTGTAGGGAAAATCAAATGAGACTGAGCAATAGACAGAGCTACTTGAGGACAAGTCTGTGATTTTATTTCCTGAGTCCCCAACACCTTGTTCATGAGCAAGGATGGAACTCAACACAGTTCTGCTTGACGAACAAATAAGTTCACAGCACAAATCCAGAGCAAACCATAGGACCTAGATGGAGTTGGGCCTGCATACTGGAGGCTAGCTCGAGGGGACTGGGTAACTTTCTCCAATAAACCAGCTAGTTCTTACCTAGGTCTACCATAGGCAAAAGGACCTCCTTGAAGGCTCAGCCATAAAGAATCTTCCTGCCAGTGCAGTAGATGCAGGCTCCATCCCTGGGTCAGGAAGATCCCCTGGAGAAGGAAATGGAAACCCACTCTAGTGTTCTTGCCTGGGAAATCCCATGGACAGAGGAGCCTGGTGGCCTACAGTCTGTGGGGTTGCAAAGAGTTAGACATGACTTAGTGACTAAATCAATGCCACCATAAACAAGAGTTTCATTGTAGCCAGCATACCTGAGTTATTTAAAAGAATAGTGAACCTGTGTGGTAAAAAGTCATAAAGGGGGTTTCAGACACATACTGGTGTGTCAGCTTAATCCATTCCCATCCCTTCTTCCCTATTAGCAAAGCCCTAATCTCATTCACTGACCTTTCAGAAGGGGAGAAAAAAATTATTTCAGCCATCAGAGTGGTCTCATTCTTCTGGCCAGAGACTGGTTTGGATATGGATATGTGACATATTTATGGCCTATAAATAAGGGGAAATCTGCTTGGATGACTGAGAAAGAGTTATCAGTCTTAGAGACATCGGTGTGTGGGGGTGGTATTTCCCCATTTTCCACATTTTCCTTTATGGGCATTGCTATGTCCACATGTGATGCCAAAGCTATGACCACCATCCTATAATGATAAGGAGATCTATTGCTGACAGGAAGGACAGAGAGGGTCTTTGGAGAAGATACTAAAGGGTTCATTGAGAGTTTGAATTAAGCTGTCTCTTATTGCAAGGCTTCTTATTTTGTGAAGTGTCTTTGTTGTTCCAGCCACTTAGTTGCACTAGCTATTACAGTTGGAAGCCTCTGATACATGCAGGGCCCCCCTCCTGGCTCAGACAGTAAGGAATCTGCCTGCAATGCAGGAGACCTGCATTTGATCCCTGGGTTGGGAAGATCCCCTGGAGAAAGGAAAGGCTACCTACTCCAGTATTCTGGCCTGGAGAAGTCCACAGACAGAGGAGCCTGTCAGGCTACAGTCCATGGGTTGCAAAGAGCCGAACACAACTGAGCGACTCTCTCTGTTACATGCAAGATGATGCCAAAGTGAGGAACACGTGGAGCCCATCTACCCACCAATAACTCACAGCCTGGTTTCAAAAGTAGCAAGGCCGTAATTGATGCCAGCACAGTGTGATGCACGCCTGAATACAGGTGCAAACCAGGTGCTCCAGGAGGGCATAGGGGAGTAAGCTTGATCTGCAACATAGGGTCAGGGAAGGCTTCAGAGAGGAGGAGGCTTTAGGTGGACTTTTGATCAGATGCACTTTGCAGTCCATGCAGAGGGAATGGCACGGTCAAAGGCAGAGAGATCTGGGAGAGACTTGTTTGATTAAGGTTTGTTTGCTTTGGCACCACTGGGCTGTAAAGGGTGAGAATGAAGCCGGAGGAAGTAATCAGATCACAAAAGACTGTGAAGGACTCACCAATAGGCACGTCGCTGAAGGTGTGTGCACAGGAGGACTCAAGCAGGGAACCTGACTTCCAGGCACTTACGAAGTGAAGGGCATTTACTGAAAGCCTACTGTGTGCCAGGTTCTGGGCTGGGAGCTGGGGCTGCAGCGTTCGGCGCTGAACTGTAACATCTCGAGGGTGCAACCCCACCGTGGTCACCACTGAGCCTCCAGCAGTGAGACCAGAGTTTGGTGTCCAGGGGGCTCACATAGTTGTTGACCAAATGAGCAAAACAAACACCATCCTTACCCATGTAGACTCACTGACTAGGAGAGAAACGGGCATTTAAGAAGAGATGAAATGGATAGTTGAACACAA